TGCGGCCACTGCTTCACAGCCGCATAGAGTGCATCACCCGGACATAAAGTGTTGCGCACCTGCCGATGGCCATGCAAAATGTAATCCTCACGCAAATGACCAGCCTCCACCGAGTATTTAATAAAGTCCTGTGCGACTTGTTGCATTGGCGCTGGCGGCTGCTCCTCTACAACAAACCAAAAAAAATAATAATGAACACTCTGTATCTATCGTTGTCATGTCCTTGTCATTTATGCATCCACTCCACGCACTCCGCGCCACCATAACTCACCCATGAAATTACCAATTAAGAGCAGACCAATGCTGCGGCTATTGTAGTTTGGTGCGTGCGCACCGACCACCTCGTAACCGCGACCCTCGTACACATTGCCATCGCCGCCAACGGCGAAGCTGTACCCAATGTCCGCCCAGCCTTGCTTGTCCATATGGAAGTTCTGCATGGAACGCATCGCTGCTTTGCAGGCGTCTTCCGTCCGGCAAACGCCCGGCTGATAGGAGTGATGCAGGATAACGTATGGCGCGGGTCCGCTGAAATGAACAACCTTGTTGGGGGCGCGTGCGGCCCATTCGGCGCGCGTGATTAGCCGCCAGTCACGCGTGTGTCCTAATATTTGGTTGCTTGGTACCTCTGCATCGGTGTTATCCGTGCTCTGCTTCCTGTCGTAGCTGCTAGGTATGGCACCGGCTTCGCTTGTCTCGATCGCTAATTGAATGCAAAGCGAAGGGAGTGAGTGGTGGCGGGGAAAGCATGAAAAAGCAAACATTTGTGGTTAGTGGTTATTTGGAGCAAACAGGCAGATATGCATTGCCAGCTTTCGAATGCGGCTTGTACTAATGCCATTCTGCACACACACACACACACATGCTCATAAATATATGTACATACATATCTATTCGCACCCGTTTGATAGAAGAAAATTAGAAATTTCGTAATTTGCATTGTTTGCGAACGCAATTTAACTGGTAATTAACTCACAAGTAAACATGGCCAACAGCAAGCCAGCCCACAACAGCAGTCTGTGCATCGAAGTGGTGCGTCCCGCGGGTGCAGTCCCCCTCCTGCTTGTGTCAACCATTTTCAACAAAACTAAATAATGAAATAATGAAATTTTCAGCGCTTTTTGGTCGGTTTGTTGTAGAGTGCCTGTTTCCCGTTTCCGTGTAATGTTTTTCAACTTGCACCGATTCGCGCACCCAATATTGACTATGTATTTGTTGTTCGCTCTAGTTGTTGCTTTTATGTAATTCTATCCTCATACTTGTTGTTGTATTATTGCTTTGCTATTCCGCTGAAAAACCGCCTGTGGTCATGTCCGCTTTTAATTGATAACTGAGCGCAGCTTTCCGATCACCAATTAAAAACTGCAGTATGCCCGATTGTTGTCCGTTGTTGTTGTTGTAGAGGCAATGCATAGGAAATGTTTACATGTGCTACATTACTGTTGCTTCTCTCCTTCGCTCCCCTGAAACTTCCCCTTTAATCAGCTTTTTTTGCGCGTGGCTTTGTTGTTTGATGGCTGAGACTATTGCCGCTTGATCGCTAAATCGTTTCGAACTTCTTAATCTGTTTTAATCACGCTCGCTCTCAGCTTCGACATGCGTTTGCTGTTTGTACTTCGCTCTTTGCTTCTTAGCAGCGCTGAGTGATTCTCACAAAGGTCAGTCGTGCCAGCATGTAAATAAGTTAACATACATATATTTGTTTTTCTTTTTTATTATTATTATTATTTTTTTGTTTCTGTTCACCAAATTTTCGGGAATTTTCTTCATTTTTTTTTCGTTTTAGTGAATAATATACAACAAAGCTCGTACTTATATCAACATAAGCACCATCTGTAATGAAACTCACTGATATTCGTCAGAGGAACTTTGGCCATTGCACCCCTTAACGATATGTCTACAGCGGCGAGGGGCACCGCCTTGCCCGCGGGTAAAGCTCCTTTAAGCTCTCCATACATTTTCTATAGTCACGTGCAGAGTAAAAGCTCTCTCTGCCCATCGCTGGTCTACAGGTTTGATTATAAATTGAGGATAAATATGAAGCGCGGTGCCAATGCTACTAAGAAACTCTTCTGCTGGCTGAAGATATCAAATAAAGCGCCATAACAAATAACTCAAAGGCCAAGCTCCGTGATAATGAATTCCCAAGCTTGTTTAGGTCAAAGCTAAATAAGGGGGCAATTTTGGGCTAACTTTTATGTCTGGCCTTTTCAGGAAACACTGGGCTATTATGCATATTTCTGTACCAGTCTAATGATTGCAAGTTTGAAAATTCCATTAGAAGTACAAGCGATTGCCAAACTCGCGGCCCCGCACCACCTCCGCCATTTACTCACTCTGCTACTTTAAGTATAGAAAAAATCCATTTTTATTTTTAGTTGCTCTTCGGATGCAGGCCGGTCACAGTCTTTTGGATTGAAGCCGTAAATTTTCTGCTTGTTCCAGGAAGACTTACCGTCCAAGCTCTTCCGTGTCCCACAAGGAAAATTAAAAATTCCATGGTCTCCTGTATTATGTTACCATGCCTGAAAAGAGCTTCGATCCACGCGGATGGCATGGTAAACCTAATCACAGGTAGGTTTGAAGGCACAACCTCTAACCTCTATAATAATTCGCTATACGTAGTCGCAAAATATTTAGGAAAAAATTATTAACATACTTATGTAAATGTAAACTCTAAAAAGGCTATTACAGTTATTTTCTACAGAAAGCAGGAAAGGGACTAACTGTAAAAACCTTTGCTCCAAGGCGAAAAGGTACACTTCTCTGAACAAGTTAAGTACCTTGGTGTTAGTTATTCCCAGCCAAAGCAGGCCAAGCTCAGATATATCCAATGACTTGCCTGCCTGGCCATCTTTGCTGCAATGATAATAACGTGAACCGCGGCTTTCAAGGCACTTCTAGAGCTGCCTCCTAAGCAATTTGTAGTGTAAGGAT